CTGCTCTCCTGACTCAACTCCCAAAGACTTAGGTTTTCCATCGCCAACTATAACCATACCTCCAAGGCCAACGAAAAGGTGTACATCTTGAGCATTGTTGCCCCTTTGAGTCTAAAGGTGTTGACAACCAGCCTCAAACGTAAGTTCTTGTCTATCTAGTTAGGTATGTAAAGTAATATATAGTTAAGACACAATAGGCATCATTACAGTTGCCAACAACACCTCAAGAGAGATTTATGTCAGCATTACTAAGACTGGTTGGACTGTTGAACAAAAAGGCACCGAGAAATTCTTTACTCTTGCAGCAAATGGAGGAAATGACACCTGGGAGAGGAGCCAACTGCAAATAAGCAGATTTGCAAGAAGCCAAACTCCTGGAGTTATAGTGGAGGCTTTACTGGGTGTACTATATACTACTGTCAATATCTACTAAGTCGATAGGTACAACAAATTGGCTGTATAAAGTCTCTTCAAACATTACTCCAATAACTCTAAAATGATAGTATATGTACAGGGATTGAGTAATACTAGTAGGTAGTAACGGTATTACGCAAGACCAGCTTTGAGAAATCCAGTGACAAATCATACGAATACACGAAGCGTTGACGTATTATAACTTTTGGGCTAGAATTAAGATGCTTATGCGCGATGTCCCAATGCAGTTTGAACTGCAGCTGGAGTTGTACAAGGTAATTGGGGTTGCTCGGTTGGCAGTCGGCCACGTAACTTTGCCAAGACGGATCTGACCAGTGCCGACGAGTATTATATATGTCAGTGTTACCATGACGTCTGAATATACGAAAGTATCAATTGAGAGCTCCGCGGACGTATGCTTCTACGCTGAATTATACATTTTCCCTAGCAACATTAAGAGTGTACCTCGCCAGCCAGCAGACTGTAAGATAAAATTGCTTGGTAGTTTCTATGACAGTATACGTTAATATCTTATGACTGGCTGGAACTATAAAGCAAAAGCAAACTCTATAAAAGTTCAAGCGTTTATGAGTCGGGCCAATCATATGGCTAGTGTTTTCCAAAGGCAGTTCCCTGTAGGGGCCCTCCCTCGGAGAATAGAGAACAATTAGATTGACTTAGATGTATTTATTTTCATATTCAACTTGTACTCTCAATATCTCGACGCGCTAACAAGACTAAAGACATACCGTTGGTCATACAAATACGGCAATTAGGATAAATTTGCTTGTCTTGCAACGAAATATAAGATTGGGAAGCTACACGCACATTCCATATGAGTTCGAGCCCAAACATCCAATTCAAGGCGAGGTGCACAACGCCATGAACAAATGCTAGATTGCATCTGCAGTATATTTTCTCTTCCGCTGTGGTGAGCATAATTATCTCGTTATTTGGAATCGTCATCTGGCTAATCTAGTAACGGGGCTGTGATACTTTCGATGCCGTAAAATACAGAAAAATCAGTGTATACGTATATATATTGTAGCTATCTATCCGTTCAACTTCCGTTTTGTATTTCGGTGACCTTTCAAAGAAACTGATTTCGTACGATGTCATAAATCTCATAAACTTCTCTTCTCAGGGATTATTCTATCATACTGGTAACTGGTTCCATAACACTTTCATTTTAAACAATATGTAGTTTAGCCCTGACCCTGTTGCTTCTGCCAATTGTGCAGGCTATAAATACCCCTATGGTTAGTAGAGTAAAAGCAACTGCCACAAGTGCAAATATCCAGACATCAGGTGATACTGTTCTTGTGTTGCCACTCTGTCCACTCCATTGGAAGAAACCCATAGAAAAGAATGTCTACAAATCGGTTATCAGTAACTGTTAAGATATAATAAGATATTCCTAGGCATATATTAGGCGACGTACACAAACGAATGTTGCTGGCAAATAGATCATCCCGAGAACCGCAATTGACTTCATGAGGCTTCCATCTCGTTGAGCCGTCTCTGCAACTTCCAGGCTGCTTCTAGAAATGTTTTCATTAAGCCGTGCGTCTTTACGGCCGATGTTGTTTAGGTCCTGCAGCGACAAATGTTAGCAATAAACAATATAAGATGGAGAAAGAAAGACAGGGAAGGCATAAAATGGGGAAGATATTGACCAGCTGCATCGCAAGTGACATTCCAGCCATGATATGATCGCACTCTCTTATAAAGTTGTCGTATTCGTCAATCAAGTCACGGAGTCTTCCTCCAATTCTTTTGCCGCACTCCACCAGTGCGTCTCGCCGCCCTCTCAAAGTCATCATGTTTCTATAATCTATACCGAAGTCTGTATCTTCAAGCTCCTGTACGTGCTCGAGCATTTTGAGCAATTGCGTTTTCCAGTTTTCCAAACCGTTCTTGAGATGGCTAATTTTAATCCAGAGCATTGCGCAAGATTCGTCATCTTCAGCCGCAGTGAAGTCGCTTTCGCTTTCGACTTGTATTGTATCAGATCCAACTGAGCTATTAAAAGTTGCTTAAGAATACAAAGTTAGATGAGCACTTTGTAGCCTTCATAAACTTTTCTCTTACATGATGCTGATAGAGTTTTTCCTGACAGGAAGCTACCAACTCTTCCCTTAATATCAGTGAGACGTGAGTTAGTCCTGGACGGTTGAAAATCTTTTTCTATCGTCTGCTGAGTTTCTCGATGAATCTGGTGTAGGCCGTAAAAGGCATCGCTCCTTTGTTCAATGTCGAGAATTCTTTGCACAAATTGCGTATTACTTTCGCGTACAAGTTTAGCATGTCTCCCTCGCTCAAATTCTGCAAATATGGTAGGCAGCATCATTGGGTGAAAGACTTCTCCGTCAAAATTACGCAACTTGCTAGTAATAATGGCAGAGTCTGTCAGTAAATGCCCATGAATTTCCCGCTCTTTCAAGTTGCAACCAAGCCAGAGCGCATTAGTCGTTATTGTCTCTGGAATAAACGTTACGGTTAACGCCATGTCGTCCTCCCAGCTTTCAGCTGTTCGGCATGTATATACTATTCCTGTGTAAGCAGATTTTATTTGCTTGGCGATTTAAAAGGGCTTACCTATTGCCTCAGTACTAGATGTCTTGTTCTCTAGAACACGCGTCGTTCTTGAAAATGTACAGCTTGTGTTTCTATTAATTGCTCGTATAATCGACTTATGCAGCTTTAAGCCGCTCATTATTTTTCTGAATATCTCTTCCGAAAATGGCATCTTGGACAGCGAGGAGGATTTCCCGCTCATAATTAAATTAATCGCACTAGAAATTTCCGTTCTGCTGCTGACAGAACTATTCTTGTCACCTTTCTCATTCGGAAATCCGGCTGACTCGCCGTCAAACTGCTGCAGCCATTGTTCCCACTCATGTTCGCTCATCAAATGTAATGGCTGAGTGTACCGTTCTCCGGCAATATAGACTTCAGAATTACATCCATTTTCATCTTTTCTAATCCTGAATGCTTCGCTTTGTCCCTGAGAAAATTTGAGCAGAGCTCTATCGGTGGCATCAGGCTCAGGATTGCGGCAGAGCCAAGACATTTGTAGTAAATGCGGTGTTTCTTGGCGGATAACAGGTCGCGTCGGAATAACCAAATACGCTTGTAGAATTCGAATTCGGTGGAAGATCAAGGTAATTACTGCGTAAAGCCTAAGGCTTGCCACGGTCTTGTTGAGACATCCTATCATATATAAACGCTTCATTGAGGTGGCGGAGCTCTGAACCACTTCGGTACCACTGCATTAGCCTTTTGAAATGGTGTCAGGCAGAATCGTCATACAGCTGCTTGATTTGGCCACTGAGGGGAGCTTGTAATATCTCAATATTGCCGCTCCACGCTCAATAGGCTCAAGTCAGAATGAAGGGGGAGTTCAAGTGATTATAAAAGAGTCCGTCGTCTCGTCAAACTGCGATGTTGGCAACTAATGTGTGCATCCCGTATTTTTGCATGGACTTCATTTTTCCCAACACTACTGTTCTGACGAGGCAGCCTTCCACGGCTTTGGCCGACGAGGGCCAGATCGGATGGTGGGCAGAGGGTGGTCAGCCTGGCCACCTCCTTTTGACGCATCCAAGTCAAGTTATTTGTGCTGTGCAACGCCAACAGAGCCCATTGCGACCATTCACAGACATTTTAGGCGACATGCATATATTACGGTGCCACACATATTCTGTTAGTGAGCCTAACCCTAGCATCTAATGCCCAAAGGAAGAGAAATAAATGATCGCCTGAAACATTCGGGGGGATGCCTCAAAACCTTCAAGCGTACGCCTTACCGCCGCGGCTCATTTCATCACGCCTCACTACTCACAAGCGATGTTGACACAGGTTATTGCCATTGACTATGGCTCGAAGGACAGGCTGCACGAAATACTTGAAGGCATACTTGGCGAAGAGAACTTTAAGCTTGTACAGGTAAGGCTCCCTCGTATTTCTGCATAGCTGAGCACAGTTGTCTAATCTGCTCGCGCAGCGCATATCGAATCAATGGCAAATCAGGCTAGTAAGACGATTGACCAACGTACGATATCCGGAATCGTCGTCTTGAGGGAACGCGATACGATTCTAACTATATATGTCGACAGGAAGAAATTGGCCAGGTTAAAATGCGCATGATGAACCACTATCTTCCAACTATCTAGTGTGAAGTTGGCCGACGAGAGTTGCAAGGGCATCGGGCTCTAGATGACAGCCTAAATACAATTACATCGACCATCATGTACCGACTACTTGTGAAGTATCCACTGCTACTTGATGCCCAACTAGAGCGCGCACAGTGAGACTTCGAATTAGCATGCTCAGATTGTGAAATGAAGGCATAGCTATTCGCCTACTTCGTAGCAAGTTGCCTTTGACGGCCATCAATCTTGTGGGAAATTAGTAGTGTCGTATTGCCCATTAAAGGCTTTCAGGCGCGAGTGGTGTCTCTGAAAAGAGATGTAGCTCATAAATTTATTGTATGTGAATACATGACAGAAACCCCTTTCAAATGCATGAGAAATAAATGATAACACTCGATGTCGATAAGCATAGAGTTTTTGCAGCGCCAATTTTTAGTAAACCCATGAATAACATGTGCTGATTTCCTCATCAGTGAGCTTGCCCGGCGCTCGGATGCGGTATATATTTGAGCGCATCTTCCCATGGTCAACATACATCAAATAGTTGTAGATCTTTCTATACAGCACTGTCTAACTTACCTCAACAACATACTGGTTGGGCCATCTTTCTCTCAAGGCTGCCTCCAACCTTCGAGGGACGAGGTATCCCCCGGGGATGCACTGTGGCTCGCTGGATCTCCACTCTTCGCTAGATCGGCTTCGGCCATGGGTGTAGTATCTAGACTTGATTTGGTTGCGATTGACTGGTGTAGATCCCATGTTTCCGTCCAAGTTTTTGATGAGAAAACAAGCATTTAAAAGATATATGAGAAGACTGAAGAGCAGACGCACAGAGATTAATGACTGGAAGTTTTTCAAGATTATTTCTCATGTTTATATATTATACGCCCCCTCGTAAAGGGGTACTTGCATACTAGTATGTTTGCTATATCCGGAGCACCCATGCATGTAAGGCGTTTTTTTTCCCTAAAGAGCCTTGGGAGCAAGGAGGCGAAGAGTAAATACACTTCGTCTTCGTGCGCCCCAGTGGCCAGATATATGTGAATGGGTATATGCCGCCGGCGTGGCAAGATAGTATTCGCCTCAAACGCTTAGACTCTGACATTTGAAAACATGGCGCGCGATGAAAGGCTATCATTCTCGGATAAAGCACTCCATAGACGCTAGAAGTGTATATCATGCGCAGTGAGTGTTTTTGCTGTGCTGTACAATTCGCGACTACTAGGTATTAGGTAGGTATCTGTGTTAGGCACCTATATGCGGTCATCTGCAGTTACACGTAGAATGTGCAGGGAAATAGTCACTGAGACATGCCCCATGCTCCCTACAGTCCTGTCACACCGAAACGACTTGCTATTGGTTACATGTAGTTGCATGGAGGCAGTTGATACTACTGACTATTGAGGCGCCTATGCCGGGTTTCGCGTCTTGGAGGGAAGACGCCTCACCGAACATCAAGCGAAATACGGCTAACTATCTGCGAAGGATCAAGAAGGCTGATACCAAGCGAGGAAACAAGGCTTTTTCTCATGAAGATATACTAGGTATCCTTTTCTAAACATATAGAGAACAGTGATGGAAATTTTTCAGGAAAAAAAAAAAAAAAAAAAAAAAAAAGAAGCGATATCGTGTTGTAGTACAAGGTCGAAAGAAAAAAAAGTCAAGAGAGAACGATAAACCCCTTCCACTGCGTTAATCAGGAAGATAATGAAGACGAAAGCTGCTCTTTTGTAGAGACAAAACATGGGGCTGCTAGTTGCAATATCCTCTGAGGGTGGCATAATATCGGCAGCCTGGTCAGAACACCATCTTTAACAAAAGGCGTCCAAAGCTTGCATGGTCGAGTGTGAGTAACAGCCGCATTGGTTCATTGATTTATGGAGTTTTGAGACTTTATAAATTGAGCCTCAGGAGGCTGATTTTACGTCCAAGCTTGTGTCTGGATAAACTTATGTTCCAAAAAGCACAAACTCTAGCTAATCGGCGTCTTCTCACTGTCTCATTCCAAGCCCCTCTCTCAACACACGATAACATCCACCACCCTCTCTTCTATGATCCAGCATGGCACAGCCTGAAACACAGCAAGAGGAGCCACCTAAGCCTCTGAAAAAGGTTTTAAGAGAGTTCTTGGTACCCTGTGCGCAGCACAACAAAGACAAGCGATTTATACCGCGTCGACAGCTGGAAACAACATGCAATATAAGAGCGGTACGGCGAGAATTAAAAAGGGTGTATCCTAGAAGTGACCCTAACTTTTGCGAACAACTCGCATCGCTGATATGTCACGGCCAAACTCGAAACTCATCCGCCATCTCTAAATCCTATTTCAACATATTCGCCATTCTTGCTCTTGTTAATGAATCTAAGCTTATAGACTTCTTTCGGAAGCATTCATTATGCGACGACGACCTTCCATTTCACTGCACTTCTGATTTTGCAAAGATGTGGCCAAATAACAAGAAAGAGAAAGACTATATACAGTTTCCTGATGGAGTTGATGATGAATTCATTGAGGCCTTTGCTAGAGAGCAATGGTCAGTTCTGGTGCCATCCTTTGAGTCTCCGAAATCAAATTCTTTGCGCTGTAACTTTTATGAGTTCAATGATAAGGCCATATTACCTATCATCAACATCTCAAAGAACAAGCACACGGGTGGTTTTGGAGTCGTTGAAAGGGTACAGTTACACGAGGACCATCATGAGTTTGTAAGTTCAATCGTATACTTTTACTCCTCAATCGCGCTAACCAACAACCACAGGTGCATTCACGATTTGCCCTGAAAACTATTCATTCCATGATGCCGTTTGATCTGAAGAGTACATTGTTTCAGCAAGAACTGAAGGCTTTTCAACAAGCCAAACCAGGCAGTCATCTTATAGATGTCTGTGCCGCTTTCAAAAAAGGAGAGAACTACAGCTTTCTATTCCCGTGGGCAGATGGAGGCACCCTCAACCATTTGTGGACTAAAGATCCGCAGACCATTGTTGTAAATAAAAAAGTCAAATGGTCGGAATTTAGCCGGTGGCTTTGCAAGCAATGCCATGGCATTATTCGAGATCTCCGAGCTATCCATGAACCGCACGACACAGCCCAAGCAAAGGATAAAGCTGCTGATGATGATGATCTCTATGGCATTCACAGCGACATCAAACCAGACAACATCTTACACTTTACCGACGATGGCACGCTATTGGGAATTCTCAAGGTTTCAGACCTAGGCCTTATGAAATTCCACCGGCTCATTTCCCGAACGGTGCAATCCAAGTCTATGGGCGCCGCCTATCAAACTTACAGAGCACCGGAACATGATATGAACATGATTCGATCAAGAAAAGTTGACATATGGGCATTTGGTTGCCTCTTTGCCGAGTTCCTTACGTGGGCGATTGCGGGCCAAGGCGGGATCGACCATTTCAAAAACATGCGAGTGGACGAAGACAAACACTTCCCTGATCCCAAGAAGGGTGAATGGTTTGAAGACCACTTCTTCACAATGAGGACCGGGCAACCGAAACGCAAAGATTCTGTTGCAGAGGTATGTAGATACATGAGCTGAATCGTGCCACTGGGTCCTACGTTTTTACAAAGGCTAACCCTTACGTTCTTCAAGTGGTTTGCACACCTGAGTGAAGACTTGGGTAAAGATACATTCTTCCCACAATTTCTCAATTTTATCCAAAACTCAATGCTTCATCCTGATAGAAACTCTCGAGTGGACTGTAAGGATGTTGAAAAGTTTTTGGAGAGATGCTTGGGGAATAACGTCAACAGCTCATATTGGCTCTTTGACGGAAGCTTGACGGCACAATACGTCCTCAGTAGGAGCTCGACAGAGTCGAGCTCTTGGTCGCAAGACTAGATGGCCCGTTGATCTTCTATCTTTTCTATGTTTTGATCTTATTCAGGCTTTTGAAAGAATATTTGTAATTATTGTACTAAGGGGCGAAGATTCTGAAATTTGGATCAAGGGCACTGGTATCTGGGTATTATTACTACTATTACTTTTTCTATGTATATATTATCACATAATGATCCTATAGTTTTAGTGTTCTTAATCTTTCTTATATGTATACTTGCATTTGGCTTTCCCCTCTTCTTGGCCATCAGCGGACATCGTTGACGAAGCTCCCTAGAGCCGATAATCTAGGGAAAGCACCCTAGTTCTATTATCCAGTACTCTAGCTATAGCATGGGGATGATGGATAAATTTTCCAATGATCTATGAACCATAAGTCTTCCCCTTCCTACTCTTTCCTCCACACATCCTTCCACCACTCCTTAAACCCATACGGCTGCGCCCTCGTATCATAAATTTTTACGCTATCCTTCCCCGTCAACCCACTCATAATTCCCTCTCCCGAATACGGAGACGGCTTAGACGTCAATTTGGTAGTAGCCCGTGGCGCCGTAGCCCTATCCTTAATCTCCTTGGAAACCAAAGGCGCAACATCCGCAAAACAAGCATCCAATTCTCGCTGCAGAGAATAATACGGCTTCTTGGCCAGCTCGGGAGCCATCAGGTTGTAACTCCTCGTGATGCTGTTCAGTTGCTCTATCGATAGGTTCAAATACGCATGCTCTGCCTTTTCCCAGTCCGGATCGCGAAATGGCCTTGGCAGCGGTCTTAAATCCAGCTCATTAGTAGTAGTCTGTGCAGTTTCCTGCTCTGGCTTAATACTCGCATCTGCTGCTGCTGCTGCCGCCCCTTGTTTAGGATTATGCAGCCTCTCCGCCGCAGCATAATCATCCGCCCTAGCCATCTGCTCCTCCAACGAACCCCCCTTCGAAGCAATCATCCTCGCAACATGGCGCAACCAATCAGTCCTAAGTCTCGAGCGAAGCGTATGCGCTGTCTTCGCTAGCTCCTGCTGCTTCTCGATCCACGGCGGTACAATCTCCTGCCGCTGGATGATCCTATTCAAGAGAAACTCCGTCGTGTCGACAAACGGATTACTTCTCGCGAGATCAATCTCTACCCCCTTACCGCGAGCAATGTTCTTAAACTTGCCCCTGGCAATGGCATTCTCAATTTGCTCATTGGCCAATGCTGCCAGCCCTGATGGCGTTGCCGGCATGGCACGCGCAGTCGGCTCAAACCTCGATCGAAACTCCTTTCTCATCTCTTCCTTCTCTTTATCGCTTAGGCCTTTATCCTCCTTCAGGCCCATGCCGGTGTAAACAGATGCCCTCTCTCGAGCATTCACCACCCTCTGGCGAGGATGCACCACAGGAGCCCGTCGAATCCGCGGATCAACAACAGGCGGCTGAAAAGTGCCCCTAAACTCTGGCTTCAGCGGCTTCTTCGCATCATCCAACATCCTCAACACCGTATCCGCCGCGTCTTCTTCCCCCGTCCACGGCGCAGCAGCAGCAATATGCCTCGTCCCTTCACCCGCCGCAGAAGAAAGATCCTTTGTAGTCAGAACACTTGAATGGTCATGCTGGAATTTTGCATCTGCAATCTTGTTCAGCAGCCTTTCCTTCAACTCTTCAGAGAATCCCGCATCCTGCACGGCACGTCTGCCGGCTGAGCCGCCGCTGAACAAGGCCTCTTCAGTTGCCTCTTGCAGCCTCCGAGTCATTGCCCCGGGTTCTGATTTAGAAGCATGGCCATCTCCGGTGGGTTGAGATTCGTTGTTTTCTAAGCGTGAACTTTGCTGAGTGTCTTGATGCTGCGTTGTCGAAGGCTTTGCCCGTGAAGTGTATCGGCGCGCTACTTGAGGGCCAAAGCGAGCCGAGTTGCACATGCAATGTTTACATAAAGGCGTTGAAACTTTGGATAGCATTTCAAATGTAAAGTTCTTTCAGATTCCAGAAGATATTAATTTGAGACGCTTATTTTGTGATGATTTGCGATGAGAATGGATGCGACATTGATGCCTTAAAATCCTGGATATGAGAACAAGTCTATGATCAAATCTTAGTCAGCCAACCACGACAGCAACGACGCAGCACTGTAAACCTGCACAGGCTCTTTTCTATATATTCTCACAGCATTTTCAGCCAAATCTTGCGTAAAATAATATACATATATTTATCTATTAATTGGGTATCACTATCTATCTATGAACTTTTTTCTCTCATTATACAATGCTCCACTCTCTTCCACAACGCTTTATGACAAGATAAACTGAGCTGGGGCTGCTATATTGTTGAAATAGAGCTCACCAGCCTCATTTGAGAGACTACCTCATGAGCTCCGACGCCCATATGGCTCGTAGGGAAATATGATTGCGACGCCAGCAGCAATGATGAAGAGAGCTGCGCAAATATAGATGGGCGCCGAGGTTTGAGTGTTTGCAAAGGTTGCGACAATTGCGGATACAATGCCCATTATGCGGTTGAATGCAACGGCAACTCCGTTACCAGTGCCACGATGAGCGCTGGGCAGAACCTCAGGGGTATACGCATACAGCGTGCCGTAGTAAATGTTCAGGAAGCATCCGATCAAACAGGTAAAGGCCGTATCTTGGGCAGCCGTCTTGACAGCCGTGTAAGCAAAGAAGAAGGCACAGGTGATCAGGGCACCAATCGCCATGGTGTATTTGCGGCCAAGCAGTTTCGTGTTGCACATGAAGCCTGCGATGATGGGGCCAGGAATACCGCAGATGTTGGTGAGGCAGTAGTTGCGCCAGGTTTCGAAGACGGTACGGTGGAAGACTGCGCCGTGGTTTGTAAGATATGTACTGTGAATTTGAGTTAGCAAAATTGCTGGTATTTTGAGGCATAATACATTCTTGGTAAACGACGTACGGGAGGAAAACATAGAACAGCGGGTAGCAGAGACCAATCAACATCCAGCTAAACCAGACCAAGAGAGTGGAAATGGCCATCTTCCTGTTGCTAAACAGCCCAGCAAAGTGAATTCGGGTCTCAGAAAAGGAAAATCGGTTCTTGCTATGCGCCGTTCGAACCTCTCCACAGGCCTCGAGCTTCTCAACAGTCAAAGAGCATGGACGGTTGTACTTGGTAGCCAGGTACTGGAAAGTTTCGACCACCTGGGCATCGTCGCCGAGGCCAAGCAGATACTTGGGCGTCTCGCGCAGTCTGACGACCGTGATTCGGAGAATCGACATGACGAAGACGATGGCGCCACCGGTGAAGAGCACATATCGCCAGCCCCAGTTGTTCGCCTTGGTGCAGGTCTCAACGTCCACGCAGTTCCACTTCTCAGGCACCATGAATCCCCAAGCAATGAAACCGGTGATGGCTTGTCCAAAACCCCACCAAGCAGCCAGGAAAGTGAGGAGCCATTGCTTGTTGCCCGGAAGATATTCAAGGAAGACGGTTGTATCCAAAATGAGATTGCCGCCTCCACCAAAGCCTAGGAGAGCGATGAAGAGCGAGAGCGTAGGCCAGCTGGGCATGGCACCAGCAAGAATGCAGCTTCCGGAGCAGATGAAGAGGGTGATGTTAAATGCCCACTTGCGGCCAATGACGTCGGCGCTGAAGCCCCAGAAAAGGGCGCCTGTCAGCATACCGACGTACACGGCAATGGTGAGGGCATTGGCGTAGCCGTGTTGGCCAAATTCGCGGTAGGCCTGGGTGGCAACAATGGATTGGAAGAGGAGGATCATGGAATCCACAGCATAACTACGAGACGAGCCAGATTAGCACACCAAAACACTTCTCACGTCTCATGTTTCTCATGTCGTATACGGGCTTAGGAAGGGTATCTGCTCGAAAAGCATATTGGAATCGATTATCCTCGGAGGAATGGTGATGGCGGTGGTAATTGTAATGGTGATGGCGCAGAGGAGCAACTGACCCGAATCCGTTGAGGAAGAAGAGCTTCGTGTGGTAGCCAGTCCACCCAATCTCATCGATTGCCTTTTTAAAATCCAGTGTCAGTGCTGAGATACTGCAGAATAGGATGGGATTTTTTGGGATTTTTGAGGTTAGATTAGACTGGTGTTCTCGTCGCTCACGGCATTGATCACATGAAAGCCTCTCTATTTCCTGTCACTCACGTTGTTCACAAGATGCATTTTCATATTCAGCGCCGGGTCGAGATCCTGCAGGGCAAGGATATCTTCGCCGCTGCGCAGCGACGAGCCGTCGGCGTTTCTGACATCGCCAAAGATGCCATCCTGAGTCTGATGGTGGCCGCTCTCGAGGTTCTTCTCCATTGAGCTGGCGTCAATGGCTGACTTTTCCGGGCTTGCAGCGTGAGCCATGGCTGCGGATTGAGGGTCAAGCACGAATTGAGGCCGGGATGTGAAACGGATGCGCTAGCTTATCACACGGAAGAGCAAGAAAATTAAATTTCTGGCCTCGCAGGAGAGCACAAAAGAGAAAAAATGGTTGACGATGTATAGTCGAGCACGCCTCTATCCAAAAAAGGTGGATATCTTCAGCTGAGCCAAAACCCCCGCGAAAAAGAAGCTGGAGGGCCAAGCAGCGTACGAGACCTGAATCTGAACCTAGAGCGATGAGAGCTGCCCTGAGCAAAGCAGCGACTACCTATTGAGAGCAGCAACTCTCGTAGCAAATTGAATTGGACAGAGCGTCACGCGCAAAAAGCCAATTGAGCCTTTTCCGGCCTGTTTCACCCAGAAGCGGAGCCTTGCCGCCGAGAGGATATATGTAAATAGTAGGACGAGAGAAGGGAGGAGGGGGCCTGTAGGTGATCGATTGCGGTCTCTGAGCGACGGTCTAGACCAGAGTTTGTCAAAAGCCGGCAGACGACGACGCAAAAAGAAGAAGAAAAGCGGTGGTTGCTAGAGAAAACCACAGCAGAGCAAAATAAAATAAAGTAGAAATAATATGGCTGTCCTGCGCACACGGGAGGACCGACAGGAGAAGAAGAAGAAAGAGGAAGACCAGAAAAGGTGCGGGCGACGAGGCCGTATTAAGAAGGAAACCTCACACAGCAGAAACGGCCACGCGACGCAACAATCAAAAAGGCACACGACCAAGGCTAGAGAACCGCAGCCAATGCAAGGACCCTAAGTTGGTAAAAGACCACGCGAAGATCCCATCTCCAGCATGTGTTGCCTCCTGCTCGGTGCTTGTCAGTGCTTGTCATTGAAGACGCAGCGCTGGACACCAATCAGCGTCATGGCCGGTCTCTGCTGTGGTGGAGTCTGCGCCAGGCTAGGCTGGGGGTGTCACCTATTGTTTTAGCTCTCTTTTTGTTTCTTTCTGCTGTGCTTTTTCCTCACTCAATTGGCATTCGAGTCAATCGGCGGAGCAAAAGAGGTGAGCGAGACTCCAAAAGGGTGGGGGCAATCGGTCTTGTAGCGCTCAGCATGCGGCAGAGCGTCTCCCCCGTGCTCTCAACGCCAGACGCTGATAGGCGCAGCTCGCATCGTGAGCCTTTAAACCGGACCCCGGGGCTTGGAGGGGCATGGCGCAGTGGGGTTGGTGAAGCTTCGGCCAGACTCGAGCAGAGCAGCTCTGGAGCAGTCGCGAGCATCCGTGGCATCGCGGGCTCGCTTCGTTGGCTGGACGAGAGGACCCTTTGCGAGATATATTTCACCAGAATGCTGGTCTCACATGTCGTGCAGAGCAAGGGCAATCAGCCATTGACTGGGTCCAAGTCCGTCCAAATTGCCAAAAAGATCCAGGTCTAGATTTTCCATCTTTTCTTTTGCATTCAGCACATCAGCCATCTCTTCTCTCCTCCATCTCAGTCTCTCCCCTCTCCCGCTCTCTCGTACAATCTCGATACACGTTTCCCCTTCACCTCGAATCGCATCGCATTCGGTAGGTGCCATCGTCTTCTCCAAACCGCCATGCCATGGACATGGACATGGATTCCCGTCGGTCAATTGTCTAGCTCTACAAGGTAAATGTGCCTTTTGCGGCGCGCCTTTGTGCGACGCCACGCCCTGATTGGCCAGCCTGTAAACCGAAAGCTGAACGACAGCACTGCGTCATGCATGGTTCGAATCTGGGGCGCCTCTATTACTCTATTACCCGGCAAGAAAAACATCCATGGAATGCGAGCGACTCGTGCTGCTTGGCCGAGTTCCAGTCAGTTTTACAATGCGGAGAAGCTGCTGTGTGCGCCGAGATGACATACATGATGGTGCGGCGATTATCTAAAGCATGCATCATTTCGACTATGCACAACGGGCGTCTTGTCTTTGCCTTTCCTAGACATCTCAGCCTCCTCCACGCCGCAACGCTGCCATGCATACACACTGCTGTTGTTGCTGGGGAGTCATGATTTATACACAGAGCACATTCCTGCCTTTGCCTTTTTCATCCGTCTGCAACCACACAAATGGGTTTCTCATATGAGACACTACCTGGACTATTTCTCCCAAGACCTCCAGGCTCGCTCTCTCAAAAGTTCTTTTACCCGTATCCTTGGCAATAGATTGACAGCCCCATACTCGTACTCCAGACTACAGACTGGCCAGTAAAACCAACACCTAGCCAATGAACCAGTAAATCTCCCGCCCCCACTTGAAGCCAACATAACAAGACGGCCGCTCTCACAGGCTGCAATCTCCATTTCCCCCACGCTATGACGAGGGGCTCTGCATCCCATGTGCTCCGTCTTGGCCCTCGTCATCGGACACAGGGCACCATAGAGGCTAAGCTCGCATGCAAGGCTGCTGTGATTCTCTTCAATTCTATTCTTATTCGCTCTTTGATTGCTTTCCATTTTCCCAACAAAAACACAACTAGCCGGCTATCGTCGGGGCTCACCGCCTTGGCCCTGGGGACTTGGACATGGGGCATTATTTTATTCCATGCCACTAGCTGTATTAGCCTGTTTTCTAGCACGCATCATCGTGACTATCATGTGATTCTGCCGCCGGGACGAAGGCGG